CCTTTTTTTTTTAAAGATGACCGGTAAGGGGATCTTAATCCTTGACTTTGGTGTTGTCAGCACCACGCTCAGCCAGTGAGCGAACTGGCCATCCCTATGTGGGATCCGAACCCGTGGCCTTGGTGTTATCAGCACTGCACTCTACCGAGTAAGCCACGGGCCGGCCTTCTTTTTTTTGTTTTTTTTTTTTTTTTTCCTTTTGAGACCGGCCGCACCGCGCTCAGCCAGTGAGCGCTGTGAGCGCACCAGTCATCCCTATATAGGATCTGAACCCACGGTGGGAGTGCTGCTGCGCTCCCAGCGCCGCACTTTCCTGAGTGCGCCACGGGCTCGGCCCTTTTTTTTTTAAAGATGACCGGTAAGGGGATCTTAATCCTTGACTTTGGTGTTGTCAGCACCACGCTCAGCCAGTGAGCGAACTGGACATCCCTATATAGGATCCGAACCCGTGGCCTTGGTGTTATCAGCACTGCACTCTACCGAGTAAGCCACGGGCCGGCCCCTAGGTGCATTTTTCAAAATGTTGTATTTTGAAATACAGAGAACTTCTCTCAAGTACCTTTCACCACGTTCACCATTTTATAGCCTGTTGCTACATTTGTTTTATTGTTTTCAGCTGCATTATTACTATTATTAAAGAGGAAGTAGAAAACAAACCAACCCTTGGTGTAAAATTTAAACACTGGCTTTTAAATAAATAGGATTCTACTTAAGGTTTCCTGCTCTAATCCACATACATCACTCATAAACTTCTTCCATTCACCACATTCCTTGAGTTTCACTTGAGTTTCCAATGAAAACATACTTCTGGTTTAAAGAGCACAAAAAAGGGTAAATAGTCCAAAGCCCTGCTACGGGTTTCAAATGTTTCTCCTCTGTAGGCCAACTGCATTGATTCCACCGCCTCAGCTGAGGCGGTGTTCGCCTCTGAAGTGAAAAAGATGCAACAGGAGAACATGAAGCCTCAGGAGCAGTTGACCTTGGAACCCTACGAAAGAGACCACGCTGTGGTTGTGGGTGTGTACAGGTGAGCAGAGGGCCCAGTAATCCACCAGGAGAGAGATTTTCGTCCCCGGGCACATCCTCTGTGCCAAGCTCTTGGGGACCCCCAGTGTGGTGACAAGCTGTGACCCCCCGCATCTCCTATTTTCCTCTCACAGGCCACCCCCAAAGGTGAAGAATTGAAGCTCAGTGCTGTCTGAATTATAAGAAATGTGTGTTGCTACTGTTGCACGTGTGTTTTTCTATTAAAATACTCATCCGTCTCCCTAGTCTGCTGCTGGTTGCTCCTTGACCGCTCTTGACAACAGGGCGCATGCGCCCTTGGTCACCTTTGCGTGGTGGCGGGTGGGCACTTTCATCTGGTCACACAACGCATGCTCCGCTTATAGCTTCCTCTTGAGCAGCCGTAACCCGGATTTTGGCGCTTGGGCGGGATTGGTAGCTCACTGCGCATGTATGCCAGTAAGCACCCGTAGCGCGCAGGCGCGGAGTGTTACCTTGGGTCACGTGAGGGGAGCGGTGGAGTGGTGGGGGCGGGGCCTGGGACGAGGTGGGGGTCGGTTTGTTGTGGTAGCCATTTTGCTGGTTGCATTACTGGGTAATCGGGGCCCTGGCTCGCCGCGTCCTCCCGGTACCCTCAGCCAGTGGGCAGGTCTGAGCTCGGGATCCCCGAGCAGTTTGAGTTCCTTGCCCGCGCCCTCAGGTAACGACACGGGCGGGCGGGGCGGCACGCGCTTGAGGGGAGAGGATCAGGTCGGGTTCCGCCCTGTCCGCGTCGCCTCAGACTTAGCACGAGGCCGAGGGAGGAGTGGAGGGGGGTGGTGGGCAGGTGCAGGCCGTGCGTGGCTATTCATAGTCGGATTCCTGGAAGGGGCCGAGACCGCGGGAGCCGTCTTGGGAGAGAGGCTGGGAGGGGGTAGCCGGGCCCCACTCCTGCCCTTTGTTTGGGCTTGGCTCCGTCGGCCGCATCGTCGTCGCCTAGCAACAGCTGCCCTAGGCTGTGATTGGCTGAGCTCTTGGCAGCAGCGACCAATGGAACGGTTGTTGCCATGGC